GAGCAATTAGCCCACCAGCCAGTAGCTCGTTCATGAACGATTGTGCAGTGTCGTGGGGCCTTCCGAAATGCGTCTTCAGGATATCTATGACTCTTTGATAGCCTGCATTTCCAGGGAGGAACACGCAGTAAAACATGGCCTCCTTGGCTTCCCCACAGCGATAATGGAGAAGGTACATCAATAGATTGCTGTAATTGCTGCTGATCACCAAAGCTCATTCGAACGCCTTCATTAACTTCCAGATCTCTATGGGATCCCTGCAAACTTATCTATTTCGATTTTTGGAAGATTGAAACTTGGCGCTGCGATATAGCAGTAAACGTGTTTCCCGCTCATTTCTTGCTCCGCGGCTAGTGTCTCGGCTGCGTCACTTTTTCTATATCGACTGGTAGATGAGTGCATGCGTTCCTATTCCTCTGAATTAACCCCCGCTATGGATTTTTCGACCTGCTGTTCAGTGGATGATAACTGAAGTTCACGATCACCGAATATCGAGTTTCCATCATCAGGGGAGTCATAAGACTACAGCATCTACTTGTAGGATCCTAAATTTCGCTTTCTATGCTCCAGCTCCTTCTTCTCTATTGCGACCTCTTTTTCCAGTATCTCATTATCTTTCTGATTCTCCTTTCATTTGACAAGGTATCGCTTGCGCATTTGCACTATTTCCCAGCCAAACATACATAAATCAAAATATTTACGAAGGCTTTAATTTCTCAAATATGGTGTGTAACTTTGTAGGGCATCAATAAATTCTTTCGATAAATCATCTCAACCGATAAGTGAAACGGGATCTTTCTCGCCAGGTTTGTCGCCCGGAAGCTAACCCCTTCATTCCTTCATTTCAGATGCCCATGATTTATTAGTAGACAATCAGCTATCACGTCCATCTTGTGGGTATTAACTGCCGCTTATGCTGCCCGTAGTTACAAAGCATTTACCCCGAAAATTTGTTGCCATTGTGGTCAGCGAAAGGTTGTGTGGTCAATGAGAATTCGAGCCGCAGCGATGTACCGGGTTGTACTGCATGAATGAGCATAATTCGAAACCCATTCCATTTCGCATTGAACCAATTCCCTCCACTGGTTACTCTACGTCACACCACTTGTTGGATACCAGTTTTGAATAAGGCAGAATAACCAACCCGTACCCCTTCACCGGATGAATTTTCAACAGCGACGCAAAGCGAAATAATTATGATTACCTAATTTTCTAATCATGCAGCAGTTAATAATGCAGGTTAATCACCTAAATATTGTGTTGTCTTATCAACACAGAAAAATATCCATGTTATTAGTAAATGATTCATGAAGGCCTGTGTGCTTGCGAGATTCATTTGTCTTGTATTCAACCATGTGACCATGCCTACACACCATAGTGGGAAACGACGTAAATCATAATACTCGGTTGTGCGAAAACCAGAAAAGCTTGCGTGGTGAGCGCTAGAACCCCGCGGTCTTACTGCGCATAGTAAGTTTCTTCGGCATAATTGTATTTGCCTACTTCAAAGATGCCAACGACGTGGGCAGCTTATTTCCGTGGGTTGAACCACAGATAAGTTGCAAAATAAGGCCTGAACCTAGATGAAAAAATCCGCACGATCTACGTACGCCTGGCAATCATTATGTACCTTTATTATTTGTGTGACTCAAACAGTGTAGTGCTAAATTATGCCGCCAAATTCTCGATGAATTCGGTCAATGGCGAGGTACATCACGCAGAGTGTTGATGAGGCGTTAAGTCACTAATTTGTCGGTTTGAATGCCGTTATCCTTAAGTTGTCGGATGTCTTACGTGACAGGAAACATGTGCGCATCCTGAGCACATTCCCCAAGCACGGTTGATGAAGTGTGTAAGCGGCGAGATCACATGGATAGTGTGTTTTTGCGCATTATGAGACTGGAGTTACGAGTACCGCTTAGCACAAGCACCGTATGTTCTTGTATCACCGCGTTATTAAGAATAGCAACCGCATCTACTACGGTTACACTGTAGGTGGAACAGATTCTGAGTCCGAATGGGGTGTGGTTATGTTATCCGCAGAAGACCGGCCGTGTGTTCTGGTTTGGAATCGTGGATTCTACTCAAGGCACATTAAGACATGCTAGCACCCAAGAGCAATGTATACGTGGTAAATTCACGTTCGCTTCAATACACCATGACGAAAATGTTCCAATGCTTTCATCTGGTAAAAGATAAAACGACTGGTTTCCAAAACCGAATAATTGGCAATGACCGCAACTTTCCATAGCCTGTTGATTTCACTAACCCACCTGTGGAATGGTGACAGGTGTTTTGCTGTCACTGACGGCACATTGCATGCTCCGTTCTTCTAAACGACTATATGCTGATCTAAGGCATTCTGACGCAGGTTGTGATTACCCGACCAGAAAAGCACAGGTAAAAATTTTAAATGCTCTATTATTGTTAAGAGTCTTTTCATTCGTCAGCCTCTGACAAATACTGCATAGATGCTGGTGAATAGTATCAATTGTCAACATTTCTCATCAAAACTGCACGCCAAACTGGAATTAAACCAAATGTTCTTGATATGTTTGTACAACTGACTTAGGCTTCCCGTCTGTGTAGATGGTGTCACTTCGATGTGCACGAAGTCTCGTTGTATGGCCGCTCGAATTTCACATATCCATGCTATCAACTTTTTTAATAAACAAATTCATGATATTATTTATCCTTATTTTCAGAACATTTGGGTATTCCTTGATATGAAGGCAAGGCTCGTGATTTCACAGAACCGTATATTTTCAACCAGTTTAATAATTGATTACTTCATTTGCACAGTAATCATACATTTTTGAGAAAATTTGTGCAACAAAATTTTGAATGATTAAAACACTTGTCATCAAAGCCGCTTCTGAAGAGTATACTTGTCTTTCTGTAGCAAGGCAATTTGAAAATCCCAAGGTTGCCGCGTGGTAACAGAATACACGAGTATTAAAAATGTTCGATCTTGATTGTCTCACATATTGCCTAAGTGTGACACTAAGGAATTTGATTTTGTACAAATGCAAAACATGTGTGCCTCCTGCGAAATATATCAATGTTTTTATAATGATATGCGTTCTGAACGCTTAAATAGGGTGATTACAGATAAATCACAAAGGTACTTCCGCCTGGTATGTTGCAGAATTCTGCTTTAATATTAGAATAAGTTGATGGACATTTGCAAACTTTGTGAGACTCTCTGCACGGTTGTCGGGATCTGCCATTCACGGAGAACCTGCAAGTTGGGGCACACACCGCTATTATAGCACGATCCCTCATTATGTATAATGCCTGGAGTATAGGTAGTGTTGATGCACTGATTATAATTATTTTGTTGTAAAAACACCTGAGGTGACAATATTACACAAAAACACGTACATCGCCGAATAACTGATAGAAGAAGCTCTCGGTCAAGCAACGTGAGTTTAAACTTTGTAGCTGTTTGTGTTAAATGGACCCCTGCTGATCGATAATAATTTCGAGCAGACAAATCTTAGTTTATTTTTTTGTTCGACATCAATCTTCTATTGTCAGCCTACTTTGCACACTTTCAAATTTTCTATTCTATTTTAAGCCGCTCAAAAAGTTAGTAATAATTTTACCAAGACGATCATCCAGGTGACAAACATTGATTTTGATTTATTGTAATAATGATGCTTAAATGTCTTGCGCGTATTGAGGCACAAGAACAGTTCGCAGAATTCCGTCTTTCACCATGTCAGATGTAGATTCTGCCGTAGATGAATTGCAGCGTACGGGCAACACACTCCTGGGACACTGGACGTAAACAGTGGAGTTTCAACTAAGAGAATCCTCTTGCAGAAACCCGGCATATCCCATGACCACTTGTTTAGGAACTTTGCTTCGATGGCTGCTGAAAAAATTTGTTCTGATGGACAAGCTCTTGGGAAACATAAATCATTCAATCAATAAGTTGGGGGGTTACGACGATATCAGTGTCCGCTTCTCAAACTCCGGAAAGGTATTTTATATACGATGGACCACATATGGATAGTGTGTGAAACGGAAACCGTTAAGACGACAAAATGCCATAACAGTTAAAGTTTGCGAAAAATTATTGTAACATCACGTCACGCTAGAATTACGTTTCATAACAAGGACACATGACTCATAAAAGACCGAGAAAAAATCGCACGTTCTCAGTTCACGCATATTAGCTCTCGATACATTTGTTGCTTGGATAACTGTGGGAGAAAGTATGATATGATCATGACGAAACTGATGACTTTTTGCAGTAGACCACTAAGGAGAGAAGATAAAGGCCGGAGAGTGCTGATTCGATCCGTGGGATACAGAGATTTTATAAGTTCCTCATATAACTCAACTTCATTCTATAAATTTCCGCATCACCTTTTGGAATTTTCGGAGAACTAAAACATGATATGATGTGCCTACAGAATAGTTCTCCTGAAAAACCCTGCTAACTCATTACCAAAGGTTTCTAAAGCTGTCACATTTTTTAACTGTGAGGATACTAACCGCACCTGTGTGACGCAATATATACTACGTGGTAGTAGCCAGGAAATGAAGTGCTAATGCATTCTTTGCGACGCAGGTAATTAACACACTTCCAAGTGATAGTTTTATTAATTAATGACACCAGTATACGTTTCAATCCCAGTTTTGGTAGAAATGAACTGGGGATCAGGGTCGTACTAGCAGAGTTGTCCAAAAAAGGCGTTGAGCGCGACGTCTCTTTCGGTCCTAGAATCCGAACTGGCACTACTGCAAGCGATATATTTGATTTTGAGACGCCATGGTGTGCACCTTCTGATGCAATCCCAGGTGGTTCTGGTTCATTTTCCGGCTTGGAAGAGCTCAGCCGGTGCACAAGTAAATGATGATTTCCCACACATAACTGGAGCCCACATGCATGCCTTGATCGACACATCTTTGCTTGATGGTTCGGTTTTAAACATAAATAACATACTCGGAGTCGGTCTACGCAGATATTTGTGCTCACAACTGGCATTTCAATAAACTCTGGGCACTGCTCCAGGTAGCGAGATGATCCACACTGTGCAGATTTTATTAGTAACCTAACCTGACCGGATCTGGAGTTGCATATCTGCGTCGTCAGGATGACTGCTTAATACAATGGAGATTTGTGTATTGGTTGGGGCCTGACGCATAAACTTTCGTCTTTCGGCGTACACCTGTTGAGCTGCTGCTGCATGTTGGATCACGCTTGGACTTGAATGATTTAGCTGCCAGGGCAAACCATTCATTCTGCATGGTACTAGGTAATCTAACTACAACAGCCCCAATGGTCCGTCAAGAATTAAGATCATTTGGATATTCCGGTTGTTTCAACATAGCAGAACAAATCATCGTGTCGTCAGCCAAAGTGACCAAAGCTTTATGATCGTCCGCCTTCAGGTTCGGCCCTTCCGTCAGTTGCTCTATCGAGGTAGTTGCAATGATATGGGGATCACCAAACCTAAGTTCAATTATACGTAGTGCTTCTGCGTAGCCCTCCTCGGGTTCCAAAACGCCACACTGTCTAATGGCCTGGGCTGCCTCACCTTCACAATGAGAATCACGTGTGAGAATCGGTCTGCCGGATCACGAGTACGTCGGCCAATAGTGGACATGAAACTGTGCACAAAACTGTGGTAGTCGGCGTGGTTACCACCGAATTTTGGCAGCTGTCGCGCGGGGAGTTCCATACACGTCTGCACAAAATGAGCGGTTTACAGAAGCCGATCGTTTTGCCCCGTGTTTGCATTACATAAGCGAATATCTGGAAGGCTGAAAACAGTAAACAGCTCAACAAGTATTATCATTTCCTTTGGGTCTGTTGTGGAATTTACGTATCTTTTTGCGGCGTCACATTTTTCATTTGTTGCAAGACAGGAAAAAGCTTCCAAAACCCCAGAATTTACCGGTCGAATAATTTCATTTAATTTCTCCATCCCCCGTTGAACACTATCTTGATATTTCTCAATTCGTTCAGCGGCATCTGCCTCCAACTCTAACTTTTTGATCTCCATACGGGCCAGGTACAGTTCTCTCATCAATTCTTGCGTAGAGCGCCCGCCACTGGTGGATTCACGAGACGGAGAAGGCAGTCCAGACAGAGACATTGCGCGTCTAAATGTAGACGGAAATATAACAGACGGTATGTCTAGCCAACCTTGTAGGATCCTGTGCTAAGGCAGTGATCTCAAAGTAAGCCTAAATCCACGATCTAAGTGTCCTATCCGATAGGTAATGTGTGGTCGAATTCACCAACTGGAGATTTGTGTATTGGTTGGGGCCTGACGCATAAACTTTCGTCTTTCGGCGTACACCTGTTGAGCTGCTGCTGCATGTTGGATCACGCTTGGACTTGAATGATTTAGCTGCCAGGGCAAACCATTCATTCTGCATGGTACTAGGTAATCTAACTACAACAGCCCCAATGGTCCGTCAAGAATTAAGATCATTTGGATATTCCGGTTGTTTCAACATAGCAGAACAAATCATCGTGTCGTCAGCCAAAGTGACCAAAGCTTTATGATCGTCCGCCTTTAGGTTCGGCCCTTCCGTCAGTTGCTCTATCGAGGTAGTTGCAATGATATGGGGATCACCAAACCTAAGTTCAATTATACGTAGTGCTTCTGCGTAGCCCTCCTCGGGTTCCAAAACGCCACACTGTCTAATGGCCTGGGCTGCCTCACCTTCACAATGAGAATCACGTGTGAGAATCGGTCTGCCGGATCACGAGTACGTCGGCCAATAGTGGACATGAAACTGTGCACAAAACTGTGGTAGTCGGCGTGGTTACCACCGAATTTTGGCAGCTGTCGCGCGGGGAGTTCCATACACGTCTGCACAAAATGAGCGGTTTACAGAAGCCGATCGTTTTGCCCCGTGTTTGCATTACATAAGCGAATATCTGGAAGGCTGAAAACAGTAAACAGCTCAACAAGTATTATCATTTCCTTTGGGTCTGTTGTGGAATTTACGTATCTTTTTGCGGCGTCACATTTTTCATTTGTTGCAAGACAGGAAAAAGCTTCCAAAACCCCAGAATTTACCGGTCGAATAATTTCATTTAATTTCTCCATCCCCCGTTGAACACTATCTTGATATTTCTCAATTCGTTCAGCGGCATCTGCCTCCAACTCTAACGCTTTGATCTCCATACGGGCCAGGTACAGTTCTCTCATCAATTCTTGCGTAGAGCGCCCGCCACTGGTGGATTCACGAGACGGAGAAGGCAGTCCAGACAGAGACATTGCGCGTCTAAATGTAGACGGAAATATAACAGACGGTATGTCTAGCCAACCTTGTAGGATCCTGTGCTAAGGCAGTGATCTCAAAGTAAGCCTAAATCCACGATCTAAGTGTCCTATCCGATAGGTAATGTGTGGTCGAATTCACCAACGTACGGTCAATCATCATCATCATCATCATCATCATCCTTGTCAACTGTAAGAACCGCGTACTGGTCATACACTGGTTGTAGATGCGACAGTTTCGCTCACCGATGATTGGGGGGTGGTAGATAGCTGTGCTACGCACGCGCGAGCTGGTAAATTGGTGCATAAATCCAGCACTGTCAGTGAGTTGTCAAGCTGGGGGTTGGAAAAGGAGCTATGCATTGAAGGCAATAGCTTTGATGCATCAGCGTTATTGAGGGCGCAATTGGACCATGTCTGATAATGTTTCTAGCCATTGATGTCCCCCGTCTCGGGGTTCCCATCCAGGAAGACGGCAGTGACCAGCGCAGCTGAGTTTGCTGGTAATGGCTTTCATAGTTCGCTGCCAAGGCATTGTTTGACCGCCTCCGGCTCTATTCCACACTTCACAATGTTGGGCGAAAAGAGCCCTTTGAGGAAGTCGGTTGACTGGCATACGCAGCGCGTGGCCAAGCCAACGCAACCTATGCAGTGTGATCCGTTCATCTATCGAGGGTGAGTTCTTTCTCCCGAATACCATTCTACATACTTCAGAATTGCTGCCCCGATATTCCCACAAGATTCGGGCAATGCTCCGAAGACATCGATGGTCAAACACTGAAAGTCTTTTGACTTCCTCGGCGCGCAGCGGCCAGGTTTCTGATCCACATAGTAATATGGAGCGCACCGCATCATTGTAAACGCGACCCTTGACAGAGAAAGCGATGGCACGCCTACGCCACAGGTGGCGCAGGTTCGCAAAAGCTGTTCTGGCCTTCCCAATCTCGATGGATATGTCATCTTTCGCGAGACCACCGAGACTGATACAGCTGCCTAGGTAAACAAATTTGTCTACTACCTCAATCGGTTCATCCGCAAGCAAGAGGCTAGGGTTCGAGCCCACACAATGTTGCAGTAGCACTTTACACTTTGCAGGTGTGAAGCGCATACC